TTCGGAGCTTTTCTTTTGGCTCAAATAATCGCAATTTATTTATTGAGAGATTTTCCTCCTAAAAGCTCACATAAATATCCCGTTTTATGGCCCACATTCACAATAAATAAATAAATAAAAGTATGATTGATGATTGAAGTGGACATAAAATTTATTTCAACCAAAATTATCACTTAATAGTTGTGTTTTTCCCCGGAAAATTCCAGGATACTCACAAGGAATGCATTTTTGGTTCTGATTTTTCTCGAGGTTGGCCCTCCTGGTGCCGTGGCGGCAGGAGTGAGTCTCCACTTTAATTGCAATCTGGAAAAAAATTAAAAAAATTAATTGGGGATTTTTGGTTTTCCCCCAATTTCACACACCTGAAACTCCAGTTTGTACAACACTGGAAATTTTCGTCTCTCTTCGCACACTTTGATGTAATCTTTGAGTTCGATTGGGCTGTCGGTGATGGTGGCCACGAGTGAGCCGTTTTCATCTGAAATTCAGGGAATTTCGAATAATTAAAGCATGTTGGTAGACTTGGAATTTTTTTATTAACAACTAATTACGATTTTCCTTTTTCCATCAAATTTTTGTTTACTTTTACCCCAAACAGCCTCGGGAGTTTGAGCTCGTTTCCCGTTTCACAAACCGCTCGCAAAACAAATAAAAAAGATCTGTTTACAATTACGTCCGAGTGCTTTCAGCTTTCAGAAAAGTCGTTTTAATCGCCAAAACAATTCGGGCTTTAATTATCGTCACATTTCGGGGCTTCCGGTTTGGATAATTGGAAAAGTTGCCAAGTTTGCGAGGTTTATTCTGTTTTCGAGTGTTGAAATTTTTTTTAATAACTCAAATAGATCATTTTTTTTAATTGGTAACTTCCGTTGGTGAATGAGAAAATTAATCTGTCTGGATTTTCAAAAATATGAAACTAGATATAAAATCGCGTTGGAAGAAACTCAAAAAATTGTTTTTTTATAAAATTATTAAAAATTAAAAAAAACACAAAAAAATATAAAAAAGTTTTTTTTGTAATTTTAGTAAAACACTGTAGATCTGCTAAAGTTTATCAACTGAATAAAATGAATAATTTGTTTAT